TATACATATATACATACACATACACACACACTATATATACATATATATATATATATATATATGGTATGGTATGGTATGGTATGGTATGAAGTTTATTCATTTTAAAAAAAGTACAAAACAATTCCATAACAATATATAAAAAGATACAAAAAAGTTTAAAATGAAAGGCAGCAGAAAGAAGAAAAAATCTTATTATATCTGCCCCTTTTTTCAAACAATTATTTCAGACATATTAATTTTCAAGTAACAGAACAAAATGAATAACTTTCTAATTTTTCTAATTCTAATAAAAAACACACACTAAGCTACTTCATATATATTTTTTTAACAGTTCAGTTTTGATCTTTTTCTTAAATGTACACATTGACTTGGCATTTTTCACATCACTCTCTAGAACATTCCACAATCCAACTCCTTGGATTGAGGTAGACCTTCCCTTCAGACTAGTTCTGAACTTTGGTTTGACAAATATCTCTATCCCCTTAAGATTGTAACAACTTTGTCTTTTAACAAAATTCCTTTGGATATTTAATGGTAATGTGTTATTTTGAGCCCTATACATAACTGATAAAATACTATAATCTACCAAATCATGGAACTTCAGTAACTTCAGTTGATAAAATAATGTGCTTGATGGGTGACAGTAATGCTTTCTGGTGATAATTCTTACAGCTCTTTTCTGTAAAATAAAAATAGGTTTTGTAAATGTTTTACACGCTTTCCCCCAAACATCAATGCAATAGATTAAATGTGGAACAATGATTGTGTTATACAACATGTACAGAGCTTTATCATTTAATAATTCCCTGACTTTGTATAGTACTGCAATAGATTTAGATATTTTTGTTCTTACAGAATTTATATGATTTTTCCATGTTAGCTGTTCATCAATGATTACACCCAAAAATTTCATCTCATTAACTCTACAAATCTCAACACCCTCAATTTTAAATGGATCATCAACAGTTCTCTTTTTGTTACTAAATATCATGTATTTAGTTTTATCTAAATTTAATGATAATTTATTAATTTTAAACCAAGTTTGTATTTTATCAAATTCTGTCTTCATCAGTTCCAACATCCGTTTTACATCTTTACCCAAACAGAAAAATGTGGTGTCATCTGCAAAAAGGACACATTTGAGGAGTCCTGATACATTCACTAAGTCATTCACATATAAAATAAATAACTTTGGTCCAAGTACAGAGCCTTGAGGAACTCCACAAGTGATATTGCACAAGTCAGATCTTACACCATTTATTTGTACAAACTGTTTCCTATCTTTTAAATAGCTAGATACCCAGTGTAATGCTGGTCCTCTTATACCATATTTATTTAATTTTTCAAGGAGAATAGTGTGGTCAATAGTATCGAATGCTTTTTTTAAATCAACAAAAATACTAACACAATACTGTTTTTGATCGACAGCAGTAGTTATTTGTTCTATTATTTCCATGAGAGCCATTGATGTAGAGTTTTTTGCTCTAAACCCATACTGACTGCTACTTAGAATGTTTTGTTTAGTAATAAATTTATCTAATCTGGTCACAAATAGTTTTTCTAGAATTTTTGAGAACTGTGGTAATAAGGATATTGGTCTATAATTATTGAACACACATTTATCACCATTTTTAAAGAGTGGAACTACCTTAGCTACTTTCATATTGTCTGGAAATATTCCTTTTGAAAATGATAAATTACAAATATATGTAAACGGCTCGATAACATAACTCATTATGTCCTTTACAAACATCATATCCATGTCCACCCAGTCTTTTGATCTCTTATCTGTAAGATTTTTTATGACATTCATTATTTCTTCTTTGTCAGTTCCATTAAGAAAAATACTGTTGTCACAACTTATAACTGAATTGTTCACATTATTGTCTACTTTTGGTATTTTAGCTGCAAGGCTTGATCCAACGTTCACAAAATGACGATTGAATCCATTTACAATTTCATTGTCATCATGGATTTCATCATCATCCTTCAAAAAATATTGTGAAATACCTGATTTTGCTTTATGACTTTTCAGAACACTATTTATTACTCGCCATGTAGCTTTCATATCACCATTACTTTTATTTAATAAATCACTATAATATTCATTCTTGTGTTTCCTTATAATCGCTACTAATTTATTTTTATACTTCTTATATTTCTCTTCAGCCTCTTGTGTTCTCAATTTCAAGAAACATGTATACAAATAATTCTTTTTTTTACAAGCATTTCTCAACCCTTTCGTCATCCATGGTTGATCAACAACATTTCTCTTTGTGTAATTATTTTGCACACAATTCTTTTCATACAGAGCTCCTAAAATATTCATAAACTCATCGTATGATCTGTTCACATCATCAACATACACGTCTTTCCAGCTTTGTTTATGTAAATCATCTTTTAATTTGTCCATTGCTTTTTTTGATGTGTTTATTGTTTTTTCCTTAATTGTAATTTCTTTTGTAATGCTTTGATCATTTTTATAAATCATGAAAACTGGTAAATGATCACTCAAATCACTCATTAAAATACCTCCCATCACATCCCCATTTGTTACATTTGTGAAAATATTATGGATTATTGTAGCACTATGAGTTGTAATTCTTGTTGGTTCTGATATTAACGAATAAAGATTTAAACTATACAATGAATTTGTAAATGTACTGATGTTATTTG